TCTGCTCCTCCTCTCATTCTGGCATCTCCCTTTCCCCTAATCTCATGCTCCCAATTAGCTCAGGAGTTCCTGCCCCTTCCTGGGGTCCATGCATTTTTCCCTTATAGTCCTAAATGTTTCCTAGTTTCTTTGGTGAAGAAGATTGTAGGCTGGTAATCCTTTTCTCTATGTCTAAAATTCACAAGAATGAGTATATAGAATGTTTGTCTTTTTGAGACTGGGTTACCACACTCAGGATGGTTTCTTCTAGTTCCATCGATTTGCCTGCAAATTTCAAGATTCCATTGCTTTTTCCTATTTATTTCCCCATTGTATAAATTTACCACTTTTTCTCTATCCATTCTTTAGTTGAGTGGCATCTAGGTTGCTTCCTGGTTCTGGCTATTACAAACAATGCTGCTATGAACATGGTTGAATATATGAACATGCATTCTTTGGGTATATGCCCAAGAGAGGAATAGCTGGATTTTATGTGTCCAGGACCAGAGTGTAACCCTTCATGTGGGATGGGCTCTCAAAGTCCCTTCTTGCACCAGGGAAAAATACTAATCCACCACCAGAGGCTCCCTGGAGTGCAGAGGTCTCCTTATTGACATCCATGTTCAGGGATCTGGATCAGTCTTGTACTGGCCTCCCCGACAGCATCTGGGGTCGATGTGCTCTCCCTTGTTCAGGTCAACTGTTCCTGTGGGTTTCTCCAACCTGGTACAGACCCCTTCGCTCTTCATTCCTCCCTCTCTTCAACTAAATTCCCAATTTCAGCTCAGTGTATATCTGTGGATGTCTGTCTCTGCTTCCATCAACCACTGGGTGAGGGCTCTAGGACGACATAAAGAGAAGTCATCAATCTCATTTTAGGGGAAGGGCTTTTAGGTTATCCTTTCTACCATTGCCTGGATTGTCAGATCGTCTTCATCTCTTTTGATTGATTTTAATTTGAAGTCTAATTTGTTAGACTAGGATTGCTACACCAGCTTGTTTTGTTTTTGTTTTTGTTTTTATTTTTGATCCATTTGATTGGAAAATCTTTTCCAAACCCTTTATTCTGAGGTAATGTCTGTCTTTGAAGTAGAGATATGTTTCTTATATGCAGAAGAAGGATGGATTCTCTCTTTGTTTCCATTCTGTTAGCCTGTATCTTTTATAGGCAAGTTGATACCATTGATATTGAATGATATTAATGACCATTGATTGTTGATTCTTTTTTTTGTTTTGGATTTGTTGATGGTGGTGTTATTATGTGTGGATTTCCCCCCCCTTTTTTTTTTTCTTTTGGTGTTTGGTAAAGTGGGATTATCTATTACCTATGTTTTTGTGAGTGTAGTGATCTTCAATGGGTGGGAGTTTACCTTCCAGTACTTTCTGTAGTTTTGGATTTGTGGATTTGTTTTGGATTTGTTGATGGTGGTGTTATTATGTGTGGATTTCCCCCCCCTTTTTTTTTTTCTTTTGGTGTTTGGTAAAGTGGGATTATCTATTACCTATGTTTTTGTGAGTGTAGTGATCTTCAATGGGTGGGAGTTTACCTTCCAGTACTTTCTGTAGTTTTGGATTTGTGGATATGTATTGTTTAAATCTGGTTTTGTCACAGAATATCTTGTTTTCTCCATCTATAGTGATTGAAAGTTTTGCTGGGTACAGTAATCTGGGTTGGCATCCATGTTCCCTTAGTGTTTGTAGGATATCTATCCAGGACCTTCTGGCTTTCAAAGTTTCCATTGAGAAGTCGGGTGTGATTCTGATAGGTCTGCCTTTATGTGTTACTTGGGCTTTTTCTTTTGCTGCTCTTAATATTTTGTCTTTATTCTGTAAGTTTGGTGTTTTGATTATTATGTGGAAAGGGGACTTCTTTTTGTGGTCCTGTCTATTTGCTGTTCTGTAAGCTTCTTGTACTTTCATAGGCATACCCTTCTTTAAGTTGGGGAAGTTTTCTTCTATGATTTTCGTGAATATGTTTTCTGTATCTTTGAGCTGAACATCTTCAACTTCTTCTAGTGATCTATTGGATACAATTACAAGAAAAATTAGTGTGCCAGAAAATTGTGTGTGTGTGTGTGTGTGTGTGTGTGTGTGTGTGTGTGTGTGTGTAATGAAATAAACCAAGCACAGTATGAAAATTCTCTCATGATCTTATTAATACATAGAATTTGTCTAGTATCTTAGAGAAGTAGATAAGGGGGTTATCAGTACCCAGGACAGTTGGGAGGCTTTATTAGATAAATGCTTGTCAAAGATTACAAAATTACATTTAGGCTAGAAGACTACATAATAGTTTGTGCAGTAGAATAAATATAATTAGTGATGATATATTCCTAAAATATGGCTCATATTGAATATTCTCATGAAAATAATAATTTCATGCATATTTTAATTCTCAGTTTTAATTTATGACTAATATAAGATCCTTCTAGACATCACATTTTATGGACTATATAGGTTAAGATTATCTGTCAAGTTAATTACTTAACAAGATTGAAAAATAAGCCATGGAATATTGTAATACAAATAATATTACTTTCCTTTGATATAGTATTTCTCAGTCCTGGGTATATTGTTAAAAGAGACTTGTCACAGGGTTTTTTTTAATTATTTCTTACAGAATTGACATTTTCTTTGGGGACATAGCATGACTTTTTATTAAACTTAAATAAAGAATTCTTTCTTGCAGAAAATAAATCAATCTCTTTTTGTGATTAGCTATACAAACACAAAATTGATTAACAGTTTCAACTTTCCTTTGTACCCCAAGGGAACTAAATAGTTTAGAGAGTATAAAGACAATAGAACAATTTAACTAATGAGGAGCTTTGAGATTTCAAACCATGGGACATGTGAAAGTTTAATAATGCTCTTTCTCCATATCTCTCTATATCTGATCTCTGTGCTGTGAAAACTTACCTGATCCTTCTGTGAGCAGATGGTCCAGAGGAAACAGCTGCATTAACGACTATTGGAAGAACTGATGTGCCCCAATCTGGGCATTTGGGGTAGGCATGAAAAGCAGAGAAGATGCATGTAGTGGGATAGACCCTTAGAAGAGTACAAACTGGAAAATGCCTATTTGGTCCATTATTATTTAAAACCCCATATTTAACAGGCCCTTTAGTTTTAACTAGTCTCTTTTACATATCTTATTCTTTCTGTCTTTGCAAAATTGGTTGTTTTTCCAGTGTCATTTTCTGAAGAGTATCTATTTATTCTCCACTTCTTATGGGATTTGGAGATTGTAGTAGTCCTCTCCCAGTTTCATACCATAATTATTCAAGACCCATTTTGAGAATTATGATTTCCTTTTCATTGTGTGTTACTCTCTTTATTTTAATTTAAATTCACCATACTTACTTTGAGATATAGAAAATTTTGGGAGATTCCTCTCTTGTAGGTGACTTCTCAATAATTATTTCACTTCAAATATCTGTATTTATTCAACTCCTAAAATTTAATAAGCAAAATGCAATTTCCCAAAAAATACAAATGATCAGACAAATCAATCAGTATCTCAAACTAATAAAGAATGTAAATCAACCAATGTTAGAGTAACATAAAGAAACACAGAAGACAGTATGCAACTTCAAACCTTTTCCTTAATGCCTTCATCCTCTGCTTCTTATTTCACTGGCCAAATGCCAGAGCACCACCTCATAGAGAAAATGCATACTGTTCTTTCATCCTGAATGCTTCTCTCATATATATTTCCTTTTGGACTTTGCTCAAACATTCCTTTTTCAGATCAGAAAAAATGTTACTATTCACTCTCACACTCTTACATGAAAAGTTTCATCATTACTTTGCAGGCACATTTTTCCAAATTAAATAACATTCTCAGACATTCACAATGCCAACACTTTGTATCTTGTAATATTTAGTAACTTATGTAACTGAAAAAAGAATCTGTCTTTAATTTTTCTATGATTATTTGGCCTACATTATCTTTCATTATCTGTAATCAGATTCATTGATTATATACTTTAGCCATTAATGCTACTGATTTCACAATGTATTCCTGCTCCTGCCTATGGACATGTTAAGAACGTGTGGAAGTACACTGACCCCTGCTTTATTATAATGATAGTGTGCTTTCTTGTTTCCTACTCTCATCTCTATAGTCCACATGCTCCCTTCTTTTCACAGAGGCTTTCACTTGGAAGGTATTGTTCAAAAGAAGGATCTTTAGGAAACCTCATTAATTATAAGTAGTGTATGACTTTTAAAGAGGAAACATGCCTATTATATTTACATAATAAATACATAATCAGTTTCTGCTGCTTCAGTTAAAAGGGTGTTCTCAATGATAGTTATGCATAAGAAAATCAGGAGGTCACCTAATTTTTCTCAAGATCACACAGGTGTCAATGTACGAATCAAAATTATGTTAAAGAAACTTGATACAAGATTTCAACTTCTAAATCACTGTTCAGTATTTACTTTTTGAATTTTGCATGCCCAAAATTATTATCATAAGGGAGTGGATTAATATCAACAATAATAATATGAAAATGGCAACTGACACCCATTGAAATATACTGTTTGGAAGGTATTTTTAAACATCAAACAACAATAGCAACCATCACAAATTTAGAAAACTATTAAGGACTCAGAGTGACAAACCCATGAAGATTATAGAGGGAAAATCTCTGTCAGTGAACATTATTGAACTACTAGGAAAAATAAATTACTATAGTTATAAAGAGAAAGTAATAAAATAACTTCAAGTGTTTGGAGCGTTTATTAAAGAATAAATTATCTATATAGGTTTATATAGAAAAATTCCATTAACAGCAGTTTTAGATGATAAGAGAGACAGATATTTGGCTAATTAAAAATAAGAGTAATTTCACATATTTACAAATGATCAGAAAAATCACTAGGTTAAGTAAATGAGACTCATTGTCATAAAGAAAGATATGCTTCCCCATGTTGTTTCATAACTTGACAGTGGCTATTACTTAAAAACTATCTTTATCTTAGAAACTATCTCATCTCCAGCAGATAAAAATTATATGGAAGCAGAGAACCACAGCTTGATATCAGAATTTCTCATCCTGGGTCTCTCAGATGATCCTGAACTCCAGCCCATTCTCTTTGGGATGTTCCTGTCCATGTACCTGGTCACAGTGATTGGGAACTTGCTCATCATCCTGGCTGTCAGTTCTAACTCCCACCTCCACAACCCCATGTACTTTTTCCTCTCCAATCTGTCCTTTATTGACATCTGTTTCATCTCAACTACAATACCAAAAATGCTGGTAAACATGCAGTCACAGAGAAAAGACATCTCCTACACAGAATGCCTTACACAGATATACTTTTTTAATACCTTTGCTGGAATGGATAATTTTTTACTCACTTTAATGGCCTACGATCGCTTTGTAGCCATCTGTCATCGCCTCAAGTACACTGTTATCATGAGCCCGTGGGTGTGTGGCATTCTGGTCCTGATACTTTGGACCATCATGTTCTGGGTCTCCCTAATTCATATTCTATTGATGAATGAACTGAACTTCTCCAGAGCCACTGAAATCCCACATTTCTTCTGTGAACTGGCTCAAGTTCTCAAGGTGGCCAAGTCTGACACTCACATCAATAATGTCTTCATGTATGTGGTGACTACCCTACTAGGTGTGATTCCGATGACAGGAATCCTTATGTCTTACTCACAGATTGTCTCATCCTTATTAAGGATGTCCTCTACTGTGAGTAAGTACAAAGCCTTTTCCACCTGTGGGTCTCACCTCTGTGTGGTCTCCTTGTTCTATGGGTCAGGATTTGGTGTTTATTTCAGCTCTTCTGTTGTCCATTCCTCCCAGAGAAGAATGATTGCCACGCTGATGTATACTGTGATCAGTCCCATGCTGAACCCCTTCATATATAGCCTGAGAAACAAGGATGTGAAAGGTGCCCTTGGAGAACTTTTTATCAGAGTTGCCTCTTGTCTGTCGTGGATCATTGACATCAGAACTAAATTCATGCTGAGAACTCTAAGGCAAATTTTATGAACATACCTATCCTGAGTGGTCTTTTTCATACACCAAATGCCTAATTTACACTATTCTGAAAGAATATATAAAACTTTGCAATTTTGTATTTTTAATACTTCATTTATTCTTTTAAATTTCATTTTACTTTCCAATCACAGTTCTCCTTCCCACCCCTCCTCCAGGCCCCCTGACATTCCCCAAGCCCAAGCCTAGTCTTCTACTCTTCACAGGTAAGGGCTCAAATGAGGAATCAACAAAGTCTTGCTTAATACATTGGGGTAGGGCCAAGGCCCTCTCATGCATTAAGGCTGAGCATCACATGCCACCATAGGGAATGGGCTCCAGCAAGACAGCTCATGTACCAGGTGTATCTCATGGTCCTACTGCCAAGGGCCCCTCAGATAGTCCAAACTTTACAACTGTCTCCCAATACAGAGGAGGGCCTATTTCCGTCCCCTCGAGTCTCCACAGCTGTTGGTCTTGAGTTCATGAGTTACCATGAGCTTGACTTAGTTGTTGCTATAGATGTCTCCATCATGATCTCGATCTCCCTTGCTCACATATTCCCTCCTCCCTCTCTTCGACTAGATTCCCAGAGCTCAGCCTGGTGCTTGGTTGTCATATTTACATCTGGTTCTATCAATTACTGAATGAAGTGTCTATGATGATAGTTAGGGTATTCACCAATCTGATTAAAGGGATAGGCTTGTCCAGATATCCTCTCCACTATTGCTAGGAGTCTTAGATGAGGGTCAAGATTGTAGATTCTTGGGAACTAGCCTAGCACCAGGTTTCTCCCTAACCCCATAGTGGCTCCCTCTATTCAGTCATCTCTTTCAATGCTCTTCTCATCAACTCAATCACTCCCCTCACCAACTATCTCCTTCCCTCATGTACTCATCCCTCCACCACTACCACACCCACCCCAGTTTACCCAGTAGATGCTATCTAATTTCTCTTCCCAGAATGATCCATGTGTCCCTCTTAGGGTCCTCTTTGTTACCTAGCTTCTCTGGAGCTATGGGTTGTAGTCTGATTATCCTTTGCTTAACATCTTTTATCCAATTATGAGTAAATACATACCATGATTGTATTCCTGAGACTGAGTTCCCTCACTCACAATGTTTTTTCTAGTTCCATCAATTTGCCTGAAAATTTCATGAGGCCATCATTTTTTACTGCTGAGTAGTACTCCATTGTGTAAATGTACCACATTTTTCTTATCCATTCTTCAGTTGAGGGGCATCTAGGTTGTTTATAGGTTCTGGCTATTACAAATAATGCTGCTATGAACATTTTTGAGCAAATTAGGCACCCTTTGAGTATATGCCCAAGAGTAGTATCACTGGGTCTTGAAGTAGATTGATTTCCATTTTGCTTTGAAACTGCCATAATGGTTTCAAAGTGGCTATACACGTTTGCATTCCCACCAGCATTGGAGGAGTGTTCCCCTGACTCCACATTCTTTCCAACATAGGCTGTCCTGAGATTTTGTTTTAATGTTTACCATTCTGACAGGTGTAAGATTGTATCTCAGAGGCATTTTGATTTGCATTTCTCTGATGTCGAAGGATTTTAAGCAATTCCTTAAATGTCTTTTGGCCATTTGAGATTCTTCTGTTCTGAATTCTCTGTTTAGCTCTGTATCCCATTTTTCAATTGAGTTACTCTGTATTTTGATCTCTATTTTCTTGAGCTTTTTACACATTTTTGAGATCAGCTATCTGTCAGATTTGGGGTTGAGGAAGGGCTTTTCCCATTCTGCAGGTTGCTGTTTTATCTTACTGACTGTGTCCTTTGCCTTCCAGAAGCTTTTCAATTTCAGGAGGTATCATTTATTGATTGTTGCTCTCAGTGTCTGTGCTACTAGAGATATGTTTAGGAAGTGGTCTCCTGTGCCAATGTGTTCAAGGCTACTTTGGACTTTCTTTTCTATCAGGTTCGATGTAGCTGGATTTATGTTGTGGTACTTGATCCACTTGGATTTGAGTTTAATGCATGGAAATAGATGTGGATCTGTTTGCAAACTTCTACATGTTGACATCCAGTTATTCCAGTAACATTTGTTAAAGATGTTTTCCTCTTTCCATTGTACCATTTTGGATTTTTGTCAAAAATCAAGTGTTCATAGGTGTGTGGATTAATATCAGGGTCTTTGATTTGATTCCATTGATCTACCTGTCTCTTTTTATTACTATAGCTCTGTAGTACAGTTTAAAGTCAGGAATGGTGATGCCTCCAGACATTACTTTATTGTACAAGATAGTTTAAACCATTTTGTTTTTCTTTGTTTTGTTTTGTTTTTCCAAATGAAGTTGAGTATTTTAATTTCAAGGTCCTTGAAGAATTGTGTTGGTATTATGAAGGGGATTGCATTGAATCTATAGATTGCTTTTGTTAAGATTGTCATTTTTACTATGTTGATCCTACCTATCCAAGATCATGGGAGATCTTTCCATTTTCTGATATCTTCTTCAATTTCTTTCTTTAGGGACTTAAAGTTCTTGTTATACAGGTCTTTCACTTGCTGTTTATAATTACTCCCAAGCTATTTTATATTTGTGGCTACTGTAAGGGGTGATGTTCCTCTGATTTCTTTCTCAGCCCATTTATCATTGGTATATAGGAGGACTACTGATTATTTTGAGTTAATATTGTATCCTGCCAAATTTATGAAGTTGTTTATCAGCTATAGAAGTTCCCAGGTAAAATTTTTGGAGTCATTTATGTATACTGTCATATCATTTGCAAACAGAGAAAGTTAGGCTTCTTCCTTCCCAATTAGTACCCCCTTGATCTCATTTGTTGTCTTATTGCTCTAGCTAGAACTTCGAGTTCTATATAGAATAGATATGGAGAGAGTGGGCAGCCTTGTCTTGTTCTTGATTTTGATGGAGTTACTTTGAGTTTCTCTCCATTTAATTTGATGTATATTGCTTTTATTATGTTTAGTTATGTTCCTTGTATTACTGATCTTTCCACATTCTTTATCATGAAGGGGTGTTAGATTTTGTTGAAAGCTTTTTCAGCATCTAATGAGGTAGTCATGTTTTTTTCTTCTTTCAGTTTGTTTCTATGGTAGATTAAAATGTTAATATGTTGAACCAACCCTGCATCTCTGGAATGTAGCCTTCTTATTCATGCTGAATGATTTTTTGATGAATTCTAGGATTCAGTTTGCCAGTGTTTTATTGAGTATTTTGCATCAGTGTTCATGAGGGAGAATGGTCTATAGTTCTCTTTCTTTGTTGTATCTTTGTGTGGTTTGGGTATCAGGGTTACTGTAGCCTTGTAAAAAGAGTTTGGCAATGTTCATTCTGTTTCTAGTTTGTGAAACAATTTGAGAAGTATTGGAGTTAGCTCTTCTTTGAAATTCTGTTAGAATTCTGTACTTGAAGCCATCTGGTCCTGGGATTTTTTTTTTTTTGGTTGAGAGAATTTAGTGACTATGTCTATTTCTTTAGGGGTTCTAAGTCTATTTAAATTGTTTGTCTGGTCTTGATTTAATTTTGGTATGTGGAAACTACCCAGAAAACTGTCCATTTCTTTTAAATTTTCCAGTTTTGTGGAGTACACACTTTTGAAGTATTATCTGATGATTCTCCAAATTTCCTCAGTGTAGGGGATGCTGTAGCCATGCCTGCTTAGTGACTGGGTACAGGTATGCCTGACCAGGGCGTGGTCAGGGTGATGTAGAGTGAGGGGCGTTCAGTGGTGGGCTCAGTTTTGGTTTCACTTTCGGCTTGCTGTACAGACTGCTGCTGCACCGGCTGGCTAGGTCGCTCTGTAAGTAAGGCTTTTCCCTATTAAATACTCTTGTATTTCCACCTCGCTCCATATTGGTAATTTCCCACATTACCTCAGTGTCTGTTGTTATGTCCCCCTTTTTGTTTCTGATTTTGTTGATTTGGATTCTCTGTCTCTGCCTTTTGGTTAGTTTGAATAAGGGTTTGTCTATCTTGTTGATTTTCACAAAGAACCAACTCTTTGTTTCATTGATTTGTTCTATTGTTCTCTTTGTTTCTATTCTATTGATTTCAGCCCTCAATTTGATTATTTCCAGTCATCTACTCTTATTTAATGAGTGTGCTTCTTTGTGTTCTATAGCTTTCAGGTTTTCTGTTAGTTTGTTAGTGTGGAATTCCTCCAACTTCTTTTTGTAGGCATTATATACTATGTAGTTTTCTTTTAGTACACTCTCATAGTGTCCCATAAGTTTGCTTATTTTGTGCATTCATTTTCCTTGAATTTTAGGAAATCTTTAATTTATTTCTTATTCCTTCCTTGACCCAGGAGTGAGTCAGTTGGGCATTATCCAGTTTCTGTGAGTTTGTAGGATTTCTGGATTTTTGTGTTATTGTTGAATTCTAACTTTAGGCCATGCTCATTTGAAAAACTACAGGTGGTTATTCCAATTGTTTCTATCTGTTGATATTTGCTTTGTGATTGAGAATGTGGTCAATTTCAGAGAAAGTTCCATGGGGTGCCAAGAAGAATGTATATTCTTTGGTGTTTGTGTGCAATGTTCTATAGATGTCTATTAAGCCCATTTGACTCATAATGTTTATTAGATCCCATATTTTCCTGTTAATTTTCTGTCTAGCAGACCTGTGCACTGATGAGAGTGGGGTGTTAAAGTCTCCCACTATTATCATGTGGGGTTTGATATGCTATTTAAGCTTTAGTAATGTTTCTTTTATGAATGTGGCTGCCCTTGTATTTAGGGTATATATGTTTAGGACTGAGACTTCTTGATGTACTTTTTCTGTGATGAACATTAAATGCCCTTCTTCATCTCTTTTGATTACCTTTTGTTTGAAGTCTAATTTGTTAGATATTAGGATAGCTACATTAGCTTGTTTCCTGGTTTATTTGATTGGAAAATCTTTTCCCAACCCTTTACTCTGAGGTAATTTCTGTCTTTGAAGTTGAGGCGGCTTTCTTATATGTAGCAGAAGGATGGAAACTGTTTTCATATCCATTCTGTTAGTTAAGTATACTGATATTAAGGAGTATCA